TTTGCTGTCTTGCATACTGTACGCACCTCACGTGCCATAGATTGCTGAACCTTGCAAATGAAATTCGGAAAACTGAATTTTAACCTGTGACTCATTGCTAGCAAGTGAGGAAGTGTAGGGGAGCATTGGCTGGGATATTGGAGGAAACTTTAATGTGACGTGAAACTGTTATGATGCTTAGCCAGCATTGCTTGATGAGCATCAAAGGGATTGCTTTTCTGCTATAGATGCTGATCAGTCTAGCCCAAGGTTTTCCCCCTGCTGTGTCAGAAATGTAACACCGCAGGGCTGGCTGAGAACCATTTTTTTTTCATTTCTGTTAGAAATATGGATCAGTCTTGGACCACCAAGCTGATCTCAATTCCCACTTGGGCAATTTTTTTGATTAATAGCCGGCAGGGCTGGTTGAGCATCAGTTAAAGGGACACGCCAGTGCCAGGAAAACAAACCGTTTTCCTGGCACTGCAGGTCCCCTCTCCCTCCCACCCCCAATCCCAGGTTGCTGAAGAGGTTTAAACCCCTTCAGTGACTTACCGGAGTCCAGCGCCAATGTCCCTCTGCGCTGGTCCTGGGTCCGCCCACGCTCCTCCCAGTCATGCGGCGGGGGAGACCTAATGCACATGCGCGGCCGCCGGCGGGTTGAGACCTAATGCACATGCGTGGCAATGCCGCGCACGCGCATTAGACCTCCCCATAGAAAAGCATTGAAAAATGCTTTCAATGCTTCCCTATAGGGATTTTAGCGACGCTGGAGGTCCTCACATAGCGCGAGTACGTCCAGTGACGCTATAGGACAGAAAATCTGTGCTATGAACCAGGAAGTGCCCTCTAGTGGCTGTCTAGTAGACAGCCACTAGAGGACGAGTTAACCCTGCAATGTAAATATTGCAGTTTATGAAAACTGCAATATTTACAGTTGCAGGGTTAAGGGTAGTGGGAGTTGTCACCCAGACCACTCCAATGGGCAGAAGTAGTCTGGGTGCCTGGAGTGTACCTTTAAGAGTTCACTTATGGCAAAAACTTAGGCAGGTGTAAGAGGGCTGGGTTTGGAGCTTCTCACAGTCCCTTGTAGAGAAACCAATGTAACACTCCCCCAATGTAATTAACACTCTTAACCCAATCCCCCACACTCAGCTGCCCGCAGCTTCCATTTTTAAAGGTTTTAAATTACAAGGAGGGAACCAGTAGGTTTATCCTTTTTATGACAAACAAATTAATGAATTTCGTGGACTAATATTGCCTAGCAAGCAATTAATTTTTTTGATAATTTTGTTTAAAATGCGATTTGTTCTTTCATGTTTCTGACAAATGAACAAATCGGCCAAAATCGAATGTACAACACTGTTATTCATTACTGCATGTATGTGTTATACTGGTGAGTATAGCACAACATTAAATGGACACTGTAGGCACCATGCAAAAAAAAATTATTACAATGAACCTGGTCATATTTTTTAGATCTAAGATTAGTCTGAAGGAACCATCTGGTTTTTGTATGAGAAAAGGTCTTGAGTGGGTCCCCAAAAATGTTCTTTTTTGAAGTATTCTTTGACCTTTTTCTGCAACATAATGAGAAAACGAGAACCTCTCTGAAAAACACTTAGGTAGTTTTGAAAGAATAAAAGAAAAACACATATGGGATACGGCTGTGGTATCTAAAAAGTACATAGACAAAACATAGTGTAATACAATTTTAACAAATAATGTGCGCTGTACAAAAATGCCCTCACAAGATGTAGACTTATTATGCGCTCACAGGGTGCATCCCCTGATGTAATTGGGGGACTATGGATCCCTCTCCGCTGTCTGCAGGAAATCACGACTCAGGGTGGTAATATAAAATAGGGGCTTTCATTATAAATCAAATAAAATTGTTAAAACAGCAGTAGTTGTGGTCTTACGCGTTTCGTCCCACACTTGGAACTTCTCCAGAGACCATAAAATCAAAGTAATTCACAGATGGTTAACCATAAAATCAAAGTAAATTACAGATGGTTATTTGATCTTTTACTTGATTTACCTGAAAAGTATATTGCATACTTATTTCACACTATTCACACGATTGGTGTGATAGTATCGTTTAGGTTTGAGAGAGTGTATGGTGTAACCGCGGCTGGTTCCACTAGAACGTCAAAGCATAGAACTTAGCAGGGCTAACCATACAGTTATCTTAGCTAAAATATTATATAGTTAGTAAGAGATCCTCTTATATATATATATATATAATTGAGAATACAATATAAACTAAGGATTGTCTTTGAAGCAATAAAGTTTTGTTTTTTAAGATATTATATAAAAATATAGACAAAATCCATATAGCAGAGTTTATAAGATTAAACTAAGTGCTTGCAAATATCATTAATAGGTTAACATACCCTCCTGAACATGTCATCCTCTGTCATTTTAAGATGGAGAAGCGTCTGTCTCAAAGTCTCTCCTCCCTTCCCTAGCCTTTAAAAGTACACCTATTTATACCTTATTTGTTGTCATTTTAGGATCACCGTAGTTTATATATGAAAAAGTAACTTTACTTTATTCATTTTAGGACCTCCCTTAACTTGGCAAAAATAATAAGTTCATAACTAAAGGGTGTATACGTCATGGAAATTTTCCTGACTTGGTTCAAGGTGGCATCTTACAGTCTGAACATCTTTATCTACTTAGGGTTCCCACATTATATTGTGTACTGAAAGAGTCGTAGCATAGCCTTGAAGCTTGTTTATGCATTGTTGTTATTGTAATTCGTCTGGAACAAAATGGCGTAAACATATTATGCACTGAAGATAGGTAAGAGGAGGTTATTGCTTAAAGAAACAGTTATGAGAAACAATATGTTCCATTTCTAACACCTTGTCAGTTTGCAATATCTCTTAAAGACAACGTATACAGTTTAAGAAATACATTTCATTCTAAAACTTGTAATATTTGCATTTGCCCATTACAATGGGTGGGGTGAACAAAAAAAAAAACCTATTGAGATATTTTAGATAATTCCAACTGTTAGCCTTTTTTAGAATAGACAAGACCCAAATGTCTATGGTGGTACTTTTCTAGACAGACAAAATAATCCAGAATTCTTCCTCCCACTGGAATGATGTCATTATCTGCAATACTTCTTCTCAGGGAAGTTTCCTTTGCCCTTGTCCTTAGTCAAATGTTTGCCTCTGAATCCTACTGGAAGGATTTTCAATAGGAAGATCTGTTTCTGTGTAGAAGGTGGTTTTATCCCACTTTGTCTTGGTGATGATTTTCCAGTAAAGTTCTCTTCTGCCATCTGTTTCAGAAACTCATCCAGATGTGACCTAAATAGTCTTCCCTGTACAAAGGGGGGTAAATCACACAGGGAGTTTATGGATGCTGAATCGGCCAACCATTTCTTAAACCATGCTGCCCACCTGGCAATGTTGGAGAGGCCCATAGCTTTATCAGAGTTTCAGACATTCTAATGAAGATTGGTGTACAAACATTATATAGCTTTTTATGTCAATCTCTTTATCAAGGCAGATTTGAGATACAATATAGGCAGAGAAAATGCGTCACTGCAGCATATATAAATATATGCACACGTTGTAGGTTAATACATGAGAAACTCCTAGAAAGTTCAGCCTCATTTTACAAGATTAAGGCAGAAAAGGCAGTGTTTACATTGCCCCTAGGGACACCTCCAAGTGGCCACTGGATGGACTTCCTGGCTTAGGGTTGCACAGTAAGCAGCCCTATCGTTCAGTGTCCCCACGCTCTACACAGACACGCAGAATTTTCCTCAGAGATGCATTGATTCAATGCACCTCTATGAGGTCCTGATTGGCCAAAACGGCATTTCGCCCCCCACCAAAATCAGCCATTTCGATGTCACAAAGTGGGCAGAGCCAGCGGACCTGCGTCATGCTGGAAATAAAGCGAGCTTTACACTTTTATAGGGGGGCAAGCCACAATTGTTGGGTTAAACACTATAGGGTCAAGAATACATGTTTGTTTGTGTTCCTGACCCTATAGTTATCCTTTAACAAGTGTACACACACTGTTGTCAGGACTGCCATCAGAAATATTCAGACAACTTATAAAGCCATTGGCCAGTCTCTAACCTGCAATAATATACAGAGATACATCCACCTCCACCCCTTCCCTCTACCATGATATTAACCATACCCAATGTTTTGTGTGTGTTGCTAGCGCCTATTCAATTAAGAAGTTACATCATAGAAGAAAGCTTGGAGAGGAAATTTACTTTTAGACCAGTCATAACAAATTTGAGTTTTGTAATAGCATAAGTAATTTAGTTAACGGAGTGCCACAGTATAGAAAGAGAAACTTAAATTTTGAATTGGTATTTTCCCAATTAAATAATATACATACAATCTGGGTCTTGTGATATCAATGTTTTACATAATATCCTGTAGCAGATTTGTAATCCAAGTTTGTTTGATCATAAATAAAAAGCCAAAATAAAACTGACATCTAAAAAGGAATTTGTGATTGGCTGTCGAAAATAAAATGGATGCGTATCATTTTCATAGAAACTATTTGTAGATATGCACGAGAGTCATAGATGAAACCTGACTAATAACAAGCCATTACAGAACTCCAACATTCATACCAGTTTTCAGTCAAGTATTTTAATTTATTTAACATAGTGCAAAACAAATATTGCACACGTGAACAAATAAAAAAACCATGAAAAAATACATAAAAATATTTACAGGTATGTACAAGGCAGTATTTGCAAAATGTAAGAATAGATTTCATTTTTTGATAAAAGCTAAACCCTGGCAAGAAACAGTATTGAGAATTTACACTAGGTACTGGTGTGTTAGCCTGTTAATTAAACCCAAAAGGTCAGGTTTCACACTAACCTTTAAAAACTTAGTGAATCTCTATAAAATATATCACTATTTAAAACATAACTTTTTGAACTTTGGTCAATTAAAAAAATATATATATATATTTTTGAATTTTTTTTTTTTTTAACTGTCTTAATACTAGACTGATGAATGAATAAAACAGTACCAACGAAAATATAAATAAATAAATTTTGAAATATATATAAAAAGTTGAATGAGTATTTTCATGTCCAAAAGGAAAAATAAATATAAAATTATATTTCATTTAGTCTTTTCCCCCCATTTCTACTGGGATGTTAATAGGAGTCCATTCTTTAAGAACATTTAAAGCCTCCTTAAGTTCTGTTTGCTCTTTTTACTCCCAGGAAGAGGTCCTGATAAATATCGATGTGCCTGAGGTTTGTTACTTGTGCAGCTTTTAGAAAAGTGGTAGTCACAGAGACAGAGTGTGCAAAAGTCACTTTTACAGCTTTCTCTAGTGCAAATGGCTCTATGAAGATAAGAGTCATATTTGGCAGGAGATCCACAGTCTCTACACACTTTAAGGCTCTGGTCATTTTTCAGGGTTTTTGCAATCTGTGATCAAAGGAAAAGAAAGTTTGATTAAAAAAAGCACTGCAACAACGATCTCAAATTGTTGTTTGTGAAAAAAACGAATGTATCCCCATAATGAGTTTTTTTTATTTTTTAGAAATCCCATGTGTTTGTGAGGTCTTTTTGCCGTAAGTTTGTTCCACTGTACTTTCCTATGAAATGCAACCAAAGAAATACACACTTTTAAAGGAGGGGTAGCGCTTTCTTCAAATACTCTCTACATGTATACACAACATTAAAGTGACACTCCACTGCCCAAAAACAAAATAAATAAAAGTCACTGTTTAGTAGATATACCCTAAATGAATACATGCATGCAATGATCCATTTTTAAATTGGAGTTTTAACCAAAAGCATCTTGCAAAAACTGTAGATCTCTTGTCTGCTGCCTTTACAAGCCCTTCTCTAACCCAGTCCTGACTTTCTATGGTAGTCCTAACACATACTTCCCATTGCTTCTCAATGAGCAGTTTTTGCAAGGCAGGTGCTTTGGGCAATTGCTGCCTCTTGAGTTCAGTGCAATTAAGCTAACCAAACCAGGAAGTAACAGGATCAGTTGCCTGCTTGAAAAGCCAGATTGGCATAGCCAGCATTAAAAAGTGTAAATTTCTATTAAAAGCTGAACTTTTTCCCAAAAAAAACTAAATAAAAAAATAATTCACATAAACCTTTTCACCAAACTAAAGTGCTTTAGTGGTCTGGAGTGCTCCTTTAGCATAGATATATAATTAAAAAAGGAAAAGAAGTGTCAACTGTTTCATTTTTAGAAAACTATCTATACAAAAATAAGTAAATGGATTCCCTTATTTAAACTTTTCACCTGTTAATTTCTGGCAAATTAAGTGGTAACTGTTACAACTCCAGCCTCATAAGAAGAGGTCTTTGAAATAAGACACATGGCCTTAAGTTGAATTACAGAGAACTAGGCAATACCCCACATGTGTATCTTGGGGAGCTCACAGTATTAGAGAGTACTCTATTTTGATATGTCCGTTTTCTTCCCAGAGATGTTATTTGGTAAAGTGACATGACCTTTCTCACCATAATGATCAGTGCCAAATGCTATTTCTAACCCTAACAATGAGCTTTAGTAGATTACTCCCCAAAAGTGATCAAATTCTGCTGTAGCGGTTAGGATGCCTGGCACCATCCCATGGAAAAAAGCCAAGCAGTTTGAGAGTTTGGCTGATAGTACTCAGCCAGTGAGCTGGCCCTCCACCGCAGTGCATAGCTCATTGGAAGCAACAGGAGATCCTTGTAGAAGCATCCAGTGGGTCCAGGAAGGTTGTCAAACTTTTCTCAAACATTTTGATTACTTCCCTTGGGAGTGTGCCAGTGGTTAGAATTTTCTGTATGGTTTGGTAAATCTCTTATGCAAAATGAGATTTTGCATTTATTTTTTTTAATTCTACTTGGAATGTGGTGAGAACACACTTCGGAAGCTTACTGGAAATGCAGGAAGCTAACCTTGGAATCAGCACCAAATACTGAACTACAAGTATGCATTGGCCTGCCTCTACAAATGAAAATCAGATAGAGGTCTTACCTCACTGAATTCTGCATGTCTGCGGTTTGAAGACTCTGCATCTTTGCATTTCTTGCTTGATTTTTTCGTAGACTTAATACAGCAAGAAGCACTAGCTATTTTTTGAACTGAAGCAAGAGGTAAACGGCCAAGAGAAGAATCACGTGTTGCTGTATGCACGCTAAATTTTGCTTCTTTTTCCTGATTTGAGGGGGGAAAAAAATACAATACATTTAGTCAAAATCTAACATTTTGAGAATATGCTACAGCTGGTACAATCTGGAGCCTAAGTAACTGCAATGACACTAAAACAGAATGACTGATAGAGGCAGCTACCGACTGCATTAGAGCATTTTAATTACTACACAAACTCAATATATTTTTAGAAGGAATGGGTGGGCTCCAATGGTATCCATCTTATAACAAAAACAAACACCCACACTGACACTAAGACAGATGGAAATACTTAGTACTGGGTAGCCAGTAGCTGTATTTTTTTTTTTTTTTTTTATTAATGTTTTGTAAATATATTTTAATGCATTAAATACAGATCAACTTGTCCACTAGTCATTGCAGAGTGGAAAGTGAACCTAAATATTATATTTTACGTAGCCAGCCCCTCTAGTTTCCCAACACACCCTGGAAGGAATATAACAATGCACAAGTGTTACATTCAGTGTAGCCAGATAACATTTTGAAAAAAAAATTCAAACTCTTACACAAAGTTCCTTCCATGCTGCTTTATAAGTGCTGTAAGCCATGCTGTCTCTGTGCAAGATTTTTTTCCATGTTGTACTCACACTAATGACACTGTAAATAAAAAGGACATACTGCTTAGTGAATTTTTATTTTTAAAGTATAGCTAAAGCATTTCCAAGTATAAAAGTTTAATTCAATAAATGCAGTACTGAGAATTCCGCATACAACCAGACAATCACGTTAGAGTTATTTTGTGTTTTTTTTCATATTCATGGACAAGCTAAGCACGTCTGATTTGCCAAACATCATTACTGCCATCTTCTACCTTTTAAATGAGGAAGAGCAACGGGAGCATTCATAAGAAGGAATGAGCAACTTAGCATGTTAATACAATATGATGCAGCGGCTAATCACCTGCTCACAGGTTTAAAGGGGACTCATACCCCAAACTACTTATGTTCTTTGGAAAGAGCATGAAAGTGTATCTATACATTGTGCAAGCAGATTTACTAGTAAACAGATATGGAGAAGAAAAAATGAAAACTATTTAAAGGAACACTATAGTATCAGGAATACAAACATGCATTCCTGACAGTACAGTTCTACTAGAGCTATTTAGGTACCTGGCACCACTGTCAGCAAGGTAGTGTGTGTGTGTGATCAGGGATGCCATTTTGGCTTCTCATTCTCTTTTTAGATAGCTTTGCTATATTTTATTGCATTGAATAGTTTTATATTATGTAATTTTTTTTTTTTAATGCTATTCTTTAGTGAGTGGTTTAAACAATCCTCCCTTTTTTAGTTAGTATTTTTTTTCTCTTCTATCCTGGCTCTTTGCTGGTCATATTTTATTTGCATATATGATAATGATATAATTATACTTAGAAGTTTTATTTTATAGAGGTTATATTACACTGAATTTTATGTTTTATTAAAGGACCACTATAGGCACCCACACCACTTCAGCTTAATGAAGTGGTCTGTGTGCCAGGTCCATCTAGAATTAACCCTTTCTGCTGAGTGCCGGAGTGAGTTACATTAGGGTTAATCCAGTCTCTCCCATTGACAGCCGCTAGAGGCGCTTCCTCGCTTCTCACTGTGAATTTCACAGTGAGAAGACGCCAGCGTCTATAGGAGAGCATTGAGAATGCTTTCCTATGGACAGGCTGAATGCGCACGGCTCGTGCCGCGCATGCGCATTCAGCCAAAGACAGGAAAAGGAGGAGAGTCCCCACCACCGAGGTAACCGGCACTGGAAAAAAGATTTAACCCCATCCACCCCCTACAGCCCAGCGGGAGGGTGACCCTTAGGGTGGAGGGGACCTAGAGACCCTAGAGTGCCAGGAAAACCAGTGTTTTCCTGGCACTATAGTGGTCCTTTAATGTGATTTAGGCTATCCTTTTTTTGATAAGTAATTTTAAGTTATATGGAATACCTTCTCTTTTAATAGTGATTCCTATAAATCCCTCCCTCATTTTTGGTCTGAATATTGAGAGTTGTTTAGACAATCTTTCCTTTTTGTCCTTTCAGATAATGAAGGTTACGGATTCATTTCCTCTTCTAACACTTTCCTTATCTAGTTTACATGTGTATTTTACTAACTGGATAATTATAATTTCAAAATCTACTTAAAACCAATTTAATAATGTCTCTTAAGAATAACCCACAGACTTTATGTCCAAAGATATTAAAGACCTAATGATTTGGATCGCTATAAAACTGACTGCAGTGGGAGGAACCACCTTAAGCTTGACAAAGCACCAGGAAGCGGGGCGAAAAATGCTGCATGCCGAACCCGATAAACTGTGAGCTACAGCTATCAGTGTGAATATCAG